CCGTAACCAATGAATCAGTAATTCAGTGATTGATCAGTTTTAGTCTATTGCAGTCAGCGAAGATCTTTTCAAGTAATTCCATTCAAAATTCATCAGCTTCATATTGTACAGTGGGAATAAATTAAGTACTTTGCATACTATTGTGCTAAAAGCGAGAATATAGTAGGGTTGTTTTTTTTTCAGATGAATTTTTCGTTTAAGACCAATCTGATAATCTTGAAACTCCAAATTTGATGACAGTCCGAATTTTGGAGAGCAATCTAGCAGCTGGCGCCATCATTTTTTCCCCTTTATGCCATCATAAAGTACGTCGCCATAAAATTGTGAGCAGTGTTGCCCATCATTTAATGGATTTTATTACTATTTGATTGATTCAGAGAACTAAGTAGTTGCATTACTTACGATTAAGTTGCCACTTTCAGATGACTCTTTCAGTTTTGGAGAGAACTTCTTTCATATGATGCAACATTTTGCAAACGGATACATAGGATATTTTCAGTTCTATTGCTTAGAGCCTTACTGACGAACTATATCGATGATATATCATCCTCTCGTTAATCAGATTAAACTCGTCACCCCGATCATTTGTACGCAGGAATTCAATGAAATTTTGGCTCATTATATATTTTCATGTTCCACCAATATTTTATTATGTATTGTTAGCATTTCTGTCAGTCACTTCGAAACGTCTCTTTTTTTCGGAGATATTTGTTGAAAATAGCGCTTTGTAAATTGAGTGAGGTGACTTTAGCATATCCATGAAGCTGGTGTGTTACGTAGTGAGTTGTAAGCATGAGCATGAAAATCATTCAGTCATTTCGTTTGTTTATATATGATTGTCAACGAACCAACGCTATATTTCATCCATTAAATTTGCGTTGTCCCAGTTGTCACATTATAGAATGTCATTTCAAATCATATATCTACACGTACACTTTCAAATATCCATATAGACCTTCACATAAATCGTATACACACACATATTCTGTAAGTAAGCATCCCATCTGTTTCGTGTTCTTGTTCGACCGAATGCACGCTGCTTCTGTTTAGCACTTTTAAAATTCGAAATTTCATTATGTCCCTAATGGTGAGTACTCGTTTATTTTTGCATTCATCGTATCCCTTCTTACATCTGGAAATATTCATGCATGTTTCCTTATGTTGAAGTATTTGAGAAAATCCTATGGCTAATGCGAAGTTATTATTGATGCAAAGATATCAGTGACCAGACCATATCAAAGTGATATATTCACCGAGGTATAGTCGCGATGAATTTTTCATGCAATCCATTTCAGATTCCTGTTAATGAAACTAACGCGAGAATGCTGATCGAAGAGTTGAGCGCAATGAAGGAACTGAACCAAGAGGTATTCTAATACTTTTCAATCATCTTTGGACATTTAGATGAGCAGCTACTCCAGCATGTTACATTAATCACACAGTTTGAAGGGATATTTCATCCTTGTTATCATGGAGTCCGCCGATTTTCTGGTTGCAAAGGATTAGAATTTGATTGATTTTCGTCGTTTCAGTTGATATCGAAGTTGGCCAGATCCGAACGTGATCTACAATCGCTCAAAATCCAGTTGGACTTACAAGAGAAAAAATGTGAGGCAAAATTTGCTAGTAAGCTTGCAGGTGAAGTGGAATTCTGTTTGGAATTAATTTCG